AACCAGTTGCATGACTCTGATGTAACTTGGCAATAAATCAGAGAGGGCCTTCCTGCACTATGAGAGTTACTGTCATCAGTAAGATTGTGTACTGAGTGTCCATCACATTCATAATGACCGGTCTACTCATTGCTGTGGATTGATGGCCTGGGTAAAAGTTTCAATAAAAAGCCACTTGAATTAAAATGAAAGTATGTACTAGTTAAAAGTAATAATGATACTTTCCTCACAACATGTTTCTAAGGAAGATATTTTTTCATTCATAATTTTAAGACCCTTTTCTTCATTATGTGTCCCAGAAATTTCAACATTCTCTTTGTAAGTGTCCTTTTTGTTTCCATTTTCCTTAAAATTCCTCATTTCTCACATGTTCTACCTATGGTATTAGCATCCTTCTGTAGAACCACATCTCTGTTGCTTCAAATCTCTTCCTCTTTGAGGAAATTGTCCAACATTCACTGCCATATAAGAGGTTTGCACTTCAGCACTCTTTCCTTTGTTGCTGCTGAAATTTACCTGTTTCTTAATACATTGTTTAGCTTTTGAAAACCATCTTTCGCCATTCCGATACACCTTTTGGTTTCCAAATATTTAAATTTCTGACCTTGTTTAATTTTGCTATCTCCAATATATAGCTCACATTTTGGAATTTTCTCTTGCTGACAACCATACAATATGTTTTCTTACAATTTATGGTTACTCCTTTCTTCCTCCTTTTTTTTTTAATACCTTGTCATGGTGTTCCTGCTGTTTTTTGTGCCTGTCATCAACATGAGAACTTCCTTTAAGGCAAATACATGAAGTCATATCCAGATGTGCACTTACTTTTGCCATCACGAATGTTTACTGAGTTTTGTCCACTTCTGAAATAAATGTCTTTTTATTCCTTTGAGAAAATTTATTATTTTTCTTTTTTACTTTATGACCTCAATTAGCCATTTAGAATTATTTTTCTTCCTGTTGCAGAATATTTTTATGTTATTCTTCTAATAAGAGATTTAGTAGGTTTTGGTGTCTGTTAAAGACATTGTCCTTCATTAAAAAATTCACTTAGCAATTTAAAGGCAGATAGTTATACATGAATTTTTTTTCTTAAAATATAAACTTTTTATATCTAATTTAGTTGAGATTAGGATATGAAAAATTTAAAACTAAATTAACAGTGGTAGCATTAATTAAATGATTAAAAAAAAATAAAATTAAATAATGAAAAAATAATCACATTTCAAAATTCTCAGAAATTCTATCAAAGAATGGAATTTAAGCAGCAACAGTTTTTTTCATGCATGAATGCAATCTTCAGGCTATGAAGATTGTGTTCAAGACTGAAACAGACACACCACTCAGTGTTGACCTCAGTGTCTACTCTCATATTTACATACATTCTATGTGATATTGAGTATGTTTACCCATAAATATAACATACATTAAAACTATATATATATATATATATATATATATATATATATATATATATATATATATATATAGTAGTAATAATTTTATAAGTATAAGAAATTATACTTGTTCAGAAAACCTTCGTGTCTTGATTTTGCAAATAATCAAACCAATACCAAAGGGAAAAAAATTATAAAAAAAGAGCCAAGAACATGTACATTGGCCAAAAATAATCATCTAGCATGCAAGTCCAAAGCCCCCCCCGCAAAAACCTGATACGAGTAAGCAAAATAACTAAATAAAGTGCTCAATATAGTCAGTAGAAACAGACCTAGTTAAAACCTAGAGAGCCAGACAAACCTATCAAGGTGAAACTTGGTAGGTTTGTCTGGCCTTCTAGGTTTAACTAATATATATATATATATATATATATATATATATATATATATATATATAGTTTTGGTTTGGGGTGACCATTTTCAAGAACTAAAACAAATTAATTCCTTTTTTTTATTTTGAACAAAAAGTTCAAACACAAATTCATTACTTGATATATATATATATATATATATATATATATATATATATATATATTTCCATTAGCTTCAATTTACCACAGAGTTATAAACATACACTAAAGAGGCATGGTCTGAAAATATTGTATATTTTAACTTTACTGGTTCTGACGTAACCCACAAGAGTGAGAATAATTGTTTTGCATTTGACATAATTTTTCTTACACACACACACACACACACACACACACACACACACACACACACACTTCTTTTATAGATTCAACAAGTTACAGGACCAGTTTTATCAGTTGGTATATTGTTTATAATTGGAAAGGATACACTGTAAATGAATTGTCCTGATACAATAAAGTTTACATTTCATTAAAACTTAACTTTTTTTTTTAATCTTAAGATTGTTTTTATTAATATGTAATAAGTCACTTAATTTGAAAAGCTAATATGTTTGTGCCGTTTAAACCTGTTCAAAACCATTTTAGATTTTTAAGAAATAGCTTTTCAAATAATTATTCAGATGACCTATAAGTCAAGATAATTGTAGAATTTTCATAAAATATACATATTTGTTTTTGTTATATTCTGTGCTAATAGGAATATATACTTGAAAAACAAGGTGGATAAAATGAGTAAAGGTTTATTGTAAAAAAACAGTACAATAAGAATAAAGGTAACAGTTATGTACAAGGTTGTCGCAAGTCAATCCAGTAGTGAGTGCTACTATTGGAAGGTTGGTAGTTCTCGCGTAAGTCTGAGTCATACTCAACAGATTCCAGCTAGTCTCTGTATTCTGTTGACTTACAAGTACTTATAGGTAGTTACTACCTATAGTGTAGTCACTCATGGGGGTGACAGGTTATTCCATTACATCAGTTTTATATACAAATATTGCACACCAGAATGCTTCCTTAGTGATGTCTATTCTGGGGTCATAGAAAGTTTTGGGCTTCCATGACATCAGATTTTCTCTCCCATGGGCCCAGCCAAGAGCAATATTTCTTGACTAGCCTTCTGGCATAGTTTCCGCATGATTGCAAGAATGGTAAATGAAATACAGTAAAATTGGTCTCAACTGATGTAACCAAGCTGATAAATCAAGTATTAGTCATCTTTGAAATGATAACATATAAAAGTATTTTTATCTTTTAAGTAAGTTAATCAAACATTAATGGGAAGATAAAGTTTTGGCAAAGTTATAGAAGCAACAAAACTATAATTACTTTTATTTTTTTAAATTTGTTAATACTCATTTCACTCACATAAAGTTTTTGTATTGTTTTACATAGTAACATCAATTTGAACAAATATGCCCTGCTAATGAGGTTTCTGTTTATTTTTATATCGTATTATTTTTCTTTTTTTAATCATTCCTCCTCAAGCAGGGCAATGAAACCACTAAGACACTGAGTGTCTGGGGTTACTGAGTGAGAGAATATGTGAATAAAAGAAAACATTATTTAAGAGAGAGAACATAAATTAAGTGGACTGAAGATAACGATTGACATTGCATTTAAATTTTTGAAGAATAAATTTGACTGGAAAGCAAGAAGCTGGAAGAGAATTCCACAAGCGAGAAGTGCGAGAGAAGAAACTGTTAGCATAGAACTTATGGTTGCATCACACCATTTCAACTGTAAAATGATGAGAACTAACTGCTAATCTAGTACTGCCCTTAAATTCATGGTATCAAAAAAGAGCTCATCAGAACAATTACTATAAAAATATGAGAGAAAATAGCCTTTGAAAAGTATATAGTCACATATGATAACACAACTGTAAATCCTGTAAGTAATACTTGCATATTATATTTATAAGTTAAGAATTGATGAGCCAAGTTCAAATTCTGGCCTAGTCTCTTGCATCAATTTTCATAATTATGACCTTGGGAAAGGCATGAATCCATCTCTTTTCCTTACGAATTATGTGTTAAATAGCAGGGTAGATTATGCTCTCTTGCCTTGGTGGCAACTAGTTGAAAAGAATGAAAATTCTGAATTCTAAGCTGTGGAGGCAACTACTCCACTATCTTTCCTCAGAAAGTCTGGTAATTCAGATTTGTGCAAACCAAGCCTATATATAGCATCTTTTTTAATCTTGGAAAATAAACCTATGTCTATCTGTTTGACTCTTGTTCAAACCAAACCTGTCTATTGTATAACAGAATTTGGCATTAAATAACTTGGTAAAGGTTGATGTACCATAAAACAAAATGAAGCCATAGTTAATGAAGAAAAGGAAATTATGGAGAGCCGTGTTTACCAACATATCGAAGGGATATGGCATTTAAAAACAAAAAAACAAGAGTGTACATTGGTATGTATTCACATATGTGAAGATGCTAGTGTTCTATATTTTGTAAATGGTAAGAGAGAGTCAAAATTGTTTCGAAGCATACTATAACTTGTGTTCAAGGAAAAGCCTGCATTTGCAGTTTATTTTATAATTTTATATGAATAGCAAGACCCCCTTATGTTTGTAACATAAACCCTTAACATATTTGCTGAGGTAATTTTTTTTCCCTTTCATTTTTGAAATCTGATTCTCTCTTTGGATATTAAACATTTGTCTTCCTCTCCCCAACTTACTTTTATCCCATCTTGCAGTACTTGGTAACATGCCACACCTTGTGGCATAAATTGAATGTAAATGCAATTCTCCCACATATAAATATAAAGGCAGATATTTCAGTTTTTCATGCATTGCTAGGTTCAAAAGTACTTTTTGTATAAGCATTGAGCTTTATTTTTTTCAAATTATAATCTTAGATAATATTGATTGCTTTGTTTTTTATGGCTTATCAACTTTTGCAGGTTATTTAAAGCTAGAATATATATTTTTTAAATTGTAAGATTTTTTTTTTTTTTTTTTTTTTTTTAGATAATAATGATTTACTGATGCATTTACTGATTAACCCATAGCTCGGGGGGGAGAGAGAAGAAGTGGATTCATACCTTTTCCAAGAGTATTTGTGCGTAAGTGAATATAATGAACCTAACTGGAATTGTCACTCGGCTATACAGTTTCTAATTCTGAGCCATTATCCATTACACCACCTATACATCCAAGCTTATGGCACCTGGTTTCCCAAATGGTCACCCATCTAAATACTAACCGGGCCTGATGTTGCTTAACTTCGGTGATTGTATGAGAACTGGTGTTTCAATGTGATATGGCCATAAGCCTTTATAAATGATAATAGATTATTAGAGACAATTTGTATATTGCTAAATTGGGGTGCTTATTGTATCTCTAATTTTTTAATCTAAGACAATTTATATATTGTGGAATGGTGAGTGCTTATCTTCTCTTTAATTTTTAGTATGAGACTTTTTTGTATCCTTTTTATGCAATCACAGTGATTGTTTGATATGGTCACATGCAGCTGATAAAAAAATGTTTATTTAGAATAACTTATTTCAGTAAATTTTGATATAAAATTTTATGAAAAATAACTCTTTTGATTTATATATTTCAAATATTAAAGTATTTGATTTATATATTTCAAGTATTAAAATCTGAAGTAAGATGAATTTTAAATACATGTCCATTACTTCCTTTATTCTAAAGTCTTGGTGGATTTCACTGGACCATATGACGTTGATATTAATAAGATTTTCTTTGACCAACCATTCCATTTGATCAAAGTTGGAAGCCATTCTTGTGGTTCCAACTTCCTCTTGGATTTGGCATTAATGATTTATTCCACACTTATAGATGACGTTGAGAATTAATTTGAAACAAAAAAACCTAAAAATTTCACCAGTGACATCTCTGGACAAGTAAACAAATTTATTTGTCTAAGAAATTTTGTTTTCTCTCTTTTGACAGGAAGTATGTCTACCATATTATTCACATTGTTTTTTAAAAGGTTTAATACTCACACACACACACACATATATATGGCAACTGAATGACTGTATATGTGTGCATGTACACACATATATATATATATATATATATATATATATATATAAATACAAAAGAAATAATCACACATAGAATCAATCAGATCTATGTGTGATTATTTCTTTGTATGTAAATCATATGCTGCCTAATGTTTTATGTTTTTATATATATATATATATATATATATATATATATATATATTGATATGTTTTCTTATGGCTTATCAATCTTTTGCTGATTATTTAAAGCCAAAACATTTTTGGAGCATAAGAATTAATTTTTTCTTTTGTTTTTTCAAATGAATATTGTATTAACATTTTGGAGATAATAATGCTGTTCAGATACAAGTCTTACTATTTAACCCATATATGTGGGGAGAAGGGATAAAAATAAGGTGGATAAAATAACTAAAAGTTTATTGTAAAAAACCAGTACAACAAAAATAAAAGTAACAGTTATGCACAAGGTCATCGCAAGTCAATCCAGTAGTGAGTGCTACTATTGGAAGACCGGTAGTTCTTGCATAAGTCTGAGTCATACTCAACAGATCCCAGATCCATCTAACCTCCCCACGTCGTCAGATATGGTACAAGGCCCAATTTAATGTCGGGCATCCAAGCCTATAGGCTTAGCCAAAAAACCACGCATAAATGGGTTGAGGTCTGTTTACCTCCCTGGACGAGATTTTGCCCTTCGGCATAGTGTCATCCAGGTTCTTCTCTGCCCAAAGGCAGAGAGTTTGACAGCAGCTAAGACCTGAGTAACAGATCGCAGCTAGAGTATCTAGCAACTACCCCACACAGTCATATGTGGCACAAGGCCGCATTTAATGTGGGCTACCCGAGACCATAGGCTCAGCCAAAAAATCCCTGTAGACCCCACATAAACAGGATCAAGTCAGTCTACCTCCCTGAACGAGACTCTGCCCTTCAGAATAGCTTCATCCGGGTTCCTCTCTGCCTGAAGGCAGAGAGTTCAACAGCAGCTAAGACCTGAGTAACAGATTGCAGCTAGTATATTTAGCTACCCCCCAACGAGGGTTGCACGTGGCTCAAGGCCAGTTTAACGTGGGTTCTCCGAGCCCGTAGGCTCGGCCAAAAATATTCCCTTTTGAACCCGCATAAACAGGTTCAGGGGCAGTCTACCTCCCTGAACGAGACTCTGCCCAAAGGCAGAGCCTTGTCCAGGTTCCTCTCTGCCCGAAGACAGAGAGTTCAACTGTCTAGCTGGAACAGGTCGCAGCTAGTCTCTGCAGTCCATTGACTTACAGATACTTATAGGTTGTTACTACCTATAGTGTATTCACTCATGGGTGTGACAGGTTATTCCATTACATCAATATATATATATATATATATATATATATTAGTGTTATGTTCTTATATTATGCTAATTTGACCACCCACACAGATATCTTTGTAAAAGTCATTCTGGTTGGATTTTTCTTTCCATTTAGCTACACAAAATTTAAGGACTTTTTTTACCTTCTTTTCTCACATCAAGAGAGTTCCAAATTGATCTATAGGAAATTTTGATGTGAAATTTTCATTTTATAATGTTTGATCCCCTGTGATTAAATGAAGTGCATTGACAAGGAAGAGAATTGTATTGAAAACTAAATATTTATTGTGTAAAATAAATGCTTTTTTCCTTTTTTAGACACATATTGAAATCAAGCCTAAGTTGAACAAAGTTATAGATTTCCCTTTAATTTTTTTTCACAAGATTTTTTTAAAACAGATTTTTTTGCTGTGTTGGATAAATTGCAAAATAGTCCAGTATAGTAGTTGAATTTTGGTGCTAAAATTTATTTTGTTTATGTTCAACATTATCGTGCTTTGCAAGCCAAAATTTTTAAGTATCTTTGTCACTAGTTATTAATCATGTTTACATGTAGAGTTGAATAGGTTTTTATGACCAAGCAACAAAGTTTTTTCAAGTTTTTCTTACAAAAACTGATCTTACCTTTTTTTAGGTATTAGTTTTTCAACACTGAAAATAATATTGAACAAATCAAAGTATATTTCCATTCATCTTCCTTTAGAATACTATCTTCTATAATTCTTGTATTATCCTTATAAATCTATTCCTATAATAAAAGACATTCATTTGTGTGTATGTGTGCCTGGTTTAAATTCCTAAACTAGAACATTTAGACTCTTAAAACAATATGTATTTTGTTTCAGCATGTTCCAAGGAATGTTTTGATAAACAATTTATTTTTGTGCTCCTTATATATAAGTAAAAATATGTGTGAATTAAAACGTATGAAATTGTTAGCTTTAGAAAACACAGTAAAAACTATGCTGATATTTTAGCATTTCTGATTTAAACCGAACATCATTCTTTCATTTTTTAAATAAACAATGGCAATGTTAATGAGTGAATTGTAGAATATTTAATACTTTTTGTTTATTAAAGGACAATTTTTAAAAATTATCATTAATAAATTATTTTCTTTAAAAACACATATAAAAAAAATAAACCTTTAACAAAAAAAAAAATAATAGGCTTATTTTAATAAAATTACAAACAGTAGGCTCTCTTTCCTTACAAAAACAAATTTCCACTTTTTTACCCATTAGAACAATATTAAATGTAAGAAATTCTTTAAAAAAAAATCTCAACTTTATTGAATTAAAATAAAAAATAATTTAATTTCAAATATCTTTGCTTATATAAAGAATACAGAAAGAAATTGTTCATCAAAACCTTTGGAACATGCTGAACCCGAATATATATATATATATATATGTATATATACTCCAATGGGTAAATTGTTGGCATTTTATAATTTTAATTTGCACAGTAGGGTCAGTTGAGCACTGTCTGATACAATACATTAGCAAGGTTAGGTAACCTCACTCATATAAAATAATTCTTCTATAATGAAAGCTTTTTTTGAATTAGGTTTACTTGTATTTGTTAGAGGAACAGAATGCCTGTATATATATTTGCATATATTTCTGTGAGCTTATATTTATACTTGCATATATATATCTGTGTGTGTCTGTGCATGTGTATATTTAAAGAAATGCTGAACTGCGGAAGGCGGATGTCAAAGTTAAGAAGATAAACCAGTTTGAATAAGTGATGTAATATTATAGAAAAACATTAAGAAATATAACCTTGCAACATTGGACTGTCTAATTACAGACACAGTTCCGGAATTAGATCATTTGGGTCAAAGAAGTCTCCATTACAATACTTGAGTGGCAAATTTTTTTTTTTTTTTTACCTTGACTTGCCTAAAAGAAGAAAATCTCTGATCATTCCTACGTTGGGGCATTGTCAATGTAGACATATTATTTTTCATATATAAAAGGCACTATCATGTGGATATCCATGTAGAAGAGGAATGTTTGATTTTAGCTTAATCTCAGGTTTTTCTGTTTTACGGCCAGTGGATGACGGATCTTCTAAGTGACACCCATTAGATTGACAGTAAACAAAAGAACAAAAAAGAAAAAAAAAATTGAGGTCAAGTGACAATAAATCGGACATTGATGTTTTCCAGTTGCTGCTGTATGTTAGCAGTCACAATTGGAGTTGAGGAAGTCAGTTCTGGTCTACCCTTGGTGAGGGACAGACTGTCCCTCTGGTAGTTCTGATGCTGCCTGTTCATATTGCCAGCCACATGCTGTAATCTTGAGAAGAGCAGTATTGATGGTGCTGGTGGTGGTGGTGAGAGTGACATAACAGAAGTTGTCCCAAGTGTCACCCATCCAGGCCAAGCAAGTGAAGCCCTGAATAAAACACCTATCATATCAATAAAACACCTATCATATCATTTTTTTGTTGAGATTTACAAACTCCGCATTTCGTTCAGTTTCACAAACCACTTGTTTTTAAAATTTTCATTAATTCTTTTTTGAAAAATGAATGAAAATTTATTGTACTAAGTTATGCACCCTAGTAAAACCAACTGTACTTTGTACCCCTTACCTGTTTGCATGTCTCCCCAAAATTTGGCTTTGATCAGTCAGTGTATGGCTATTTTAGAGGATGTGACAGACAGACGCACAAACAGATGAATTAACGGAAGTCACAATTTTATATATAGATAGTAGACAAGTTTAATTTGATATGACTAAACCTGCAATAAGCAGATGCATGTATTCATTTAAAATCGTACTCTGTGACTCACATCTACTTGTATATGCATTAGATAAATAAAGTTTTCAAAGTCTAGATTTAAGAACTTTATTTGTCATCTTATGTTTCATAGGATGTTGTGTCTTTCTTTTATAGAATATTTTACTCAATTAATTTT